TAAATTCAATCTCATTATGGGTGCAGAAAAATGAGAACTAGTATGAGTGCTTATAATTGTGAGGGATTGTTCATGCACTTTTGTTTTCAAGAAAACCCAAGAGAAAGAGAAAAGAGAGCTTGGTACATTCAAACACGACGACAATGCATCACCCAAAATAGTCTGATATCTGTAATGTCTGGTCAAATCCTGAACTGTATGCAAGCATAAGCAGCAGTAAACAAAAGATCCATGACATGCTCACGTGCTTCTTCTGCGTGGATAGTTGCGAGTTAAGGCCGGCTATTAGAGAAGTTATTCCAACAGCAGACCAGAAGGCATTGCCTGAAAAGCAAGAAAAGTGCCCATCCCCTCTGCCTTTTTGGTTGAGACCTGAAAAAGCAGAAGGTATTCTTTAAAAAGCTAATAAATCTAAATGAAATCCACAATTTTAGGAATTACCAATATTTTGATATAAAAGGCGCGTTTTGGAGGTTACGTGAAACTAACTTTGGATTATTAGTGATTCAAAAATTCATGATATTAAAAATAATACCTTGAAATAAAAATACCTTAAAATATGTTTTAAAAACTTAATTTAAATAATTTTGAAGTTTACACTCACGTGTATTTAAAGTGCAAGGAAAGTATTACTTTTTACGTGATTAGCAGTTTTCAGAGTTATTTTAATTATTTATTTATAGAAAACGGTAAGAACGTTTTCAAGAATGTATTAAAATGTAGGCCTATGCAAATTTTCAAGAACAATCTATCTTAAGAAAATCCTATTTTAAGAGAATCTATCTATCTATCTATCTATCTATCCATCCCTCTATAAAAACAATGTGTAAACAAAAATATTAAACATTGAAGTAAATGTAATCACAAAGATTATCGCTTCACATATCAAAAACTGATTATTGAAATTATAACACTAGCCTGCTTGAAAACTTGTTGTTGTTGCTATAAGAGCAGTGTGTGTGTGTTGTGTGTGTGTGTAAGAGAGATAGAGGGAGAGAGAGGATGCTGAGAGGCCGACTGAACAGATTTTCCTTCACGCCTGGTCGGGTTCTTGAGAGCGGGGCATCGTGGAGCAGGGAACGGAGGCACCTGGTCCGGCCGCAGCGCAGCGTCTTCTTTTATTGACCGCATGATAAGCCGTGCGGTTTCCAGCGATCACCTGGAGAACCCTGCAGCGTTGCACGGTTTCTGTGGCCCTTAATTGTGGTTACGTCAAACAAAGAGCTGAATACTGCTCGTGCGCCCCATACCTGTCCTGCTCCATACGTCCTAAAGAACCAACACAACCCATTCATTTCCTGAGAGACACACCGCGGAACTGTTGCGCATTTACGCACTATGGACAGTGACATCTGTAGACACAGATCTAGATGGAGTAAATACTATGTTTCTTCACATTTACTCATATTTTAAGGGACTGTGAGCTTCTATGTTTTAACTGCATAAATGTAGTTAAATGCGCAACAGCTCTCCATTAAGGACAAAATAGAAACAGTCGTAAAGAACAGCAGTGATGGACACTAAATAAAACCTCACACAACCAGCTATGTGGAAACAAACACGTTCACTAAACGTGCTGTTGTACCGGTTAACCATTTGATTTTCCAGCTGAATGAGTAGGGTAAATAAGATCTCCGTGACGCCTTGGCCAATATTTGCTTAACAGACGGATAGCAACCTGGGATCAAAAAGTGAGACTGAAAAAAGAGCGTTTGACAATTTAAAGTTTTTATAAAAACAGGTTGGAAATTTTCTTTTTAAATATCGATATAGGATATTCAAACCAAAAAATGTATTTCTGAAATTATAGTATATCAAAGATAATTATTTTCAATAAGCCTTGTGCATATGGAAAAATATGTGATCTCAATCAGCAAAATTATTTGAAAATTATTTTCAGATTTCGTTTTTTAACCAATATAGTGGTTAGTGCATTTGAAAAATATTTTATTCATATTCTTCATTATCATTATATTATTATATTTTTTAGGTTACGTTAATATATATTACTATTTATTATAAAATTTTATATTTGGTATTTTATATATATTGAAATTATACAATCGCTTCACATTTGGTATCAAAGAAAAGCTCAGAAGTGTCTTCTTTAGGAAACACCACGATTTAAAACAGAAGCTCAGAATTCTTCACTGGAAATGTAGGGCAATAATCATGCCAGCTGTTGAAAACCGAGGCTAATGTGAGCGCATGGAGTTCCCCGTGATGCGCTGCATGCATGGCTATATGAGAACTATTTTCCAGCGTGACGTTGCGCGTCATCTGACCAATCGGTGGCGAGCTGAGGCTGATATTAAGAGAAAGTTTACAGTGAGTGAGGGTTACACCGTTTTTTTTTCATTCTCACTGACATTTCCACTCCGAACGGGATTCAAAAGTGACACACAATCTGGACTCATGAGATCGTTTTAATTCACTCAGTCGCAAAGGGCTTGAAACAGCAGGATATTGATCAGAGTCAGAAATATCCCGGTAAGTTAAGATCAAATACTGCATGTTTTTCCCCTCAGTCCTCAGAAAAAAGTCTTTCTTCATTAGGAAAATACGTTTGATTGCGTCTAAAATGTGCACTTTGCAATTTCACTATGAATGTTTTATTTGAAAAGCTGTTACAAAACAGTAATTATACTATATCACAAACCAACTAAAAGATACAAGTGATACATTCACGTATTCACAAAATATTTAGTTTGGCTCTTAATTTCTAGTGAAGCTATAGTTTACAGTGAAGCTACAGTTTGGACAGGACTATCATGTTTGTTTATATAGTAATTTTTAATCTTAGTATTTCTCCTCTCTTATCCCACAGCTCTTAGCATACTTAAGTAGCCATAAGATATGTAATTAATTAAATTTATGTCAAATATAGACAAAGTTAGACATAAATTATAATTTTCATAAAATGTAATGAAGTATGTCAATTCATGAATGCAGGTACAAACAGCTACAGTTCAAAAACTACATCACCTTCAAATATATTTGTAATTTAAAAAAAATATTTTTTTATTGGATTAAAAACATATTTCGCTTTAAAAAACGGTTTTGCTTTGACTTTTGCTTTGGAACGCAAATTAACGTAATTCAGTAAGTGAAAGAAAAAATGTAGAAATGTCAAAATTGTGTCTCCATTTTCTCAAAGCAATTAAAATTACTAGTTTGTTTGAACATTCTTCTTCTTCTTCTTGATAATAATAATAATAATAATAATAATAATAATTTTAGGTTTGGCGTTTTCTATTATTTCATATTAAGTAATTTTGTAATTATTATCAAAAATAAATAATAAAATAAATAATATAAGTAAGTATTACATGAAAAAGATTAAGTAAAAAAATTGAAATTGGTGCGTAAACTTCTTTGGCCGCAGAACTTTACTGATTTGAGGGTTTTTTTTCTCCCTATTTTTATTGATTCACTCTTTTGTTCGTGTTCTTCTGAAGTATGACGTCAGTCCCATTCCCTCCCCTCGTTCACCTTTTCTAAAAAGTTTCCAGAGGACACAGTGACCACTTTGCCCAAGAGCGAAACAGCTACGAGATTAGGGATTACTTTTCACGATTTCGCATTAGCAGTTACTAATCCCAATTGGGCTAATTGCTTTGTGTGTAAAACTGGTATCTGCAGGGTTCGTGTGATGTATGGGTTTGTATGGCCTGGAGGGTGATGCCCCCTGAATTAGACCACATCCTAAATACACCTCATTAACACGGAGAGGATTTACAAGTTATCTAAAGGAGGAATCTACAGCTATGGCACAATTACAAAGCTTAGGGCATTCTTTGTGTGTGTGTGTGTGTGTGTGTGTGTGTATATATATATGAGTACATTCAAAAATTAATCCAAAACACAGATAAGAAGAGCTAATTGTGGAAACATTCGGGGGAGTAAAAAAGACAGAAACTCTGCAGGGTCCATACAGGGACAGAGCTGTTTATTATCCGTTTCCATTGAGGCTTCTTTTTACTCCTCGGCAGTGTCGTTTGTCTCCTTTTTGTGACACAGTCAGGGACGAAATAGTTCTCAGGGTCTCTCATTCACCTCCTAGATAGTTTATTGATGAGCTTTGACTATTTCCTAACTTTGCATACGTCGGGGAAAGTGAATGCAATGATTACCGTGTCTTTTTTTTAAAATCCCACTCGCTACTCGAGCTACGACTGTAAGCCGAGTACATGCAGGCGCGGAAGGGTTGCTTTCGGGTGTGCAATGTGCGAATATGCGAGACGGGCCTCATGGTCGAGAAAAATTGTGTAGAAACAATTTTCACTCAGAAACGAGTAAATTTAAAAAAAAAAACGGCAAGTAACATTGAACTAAACGTGACATTTTTAAATTGAAAAACTTAATAGTATTTCTTGTAAAACCTACTCGAGTAATCGGTTTGATTTACAACTTCGAAAAAAAAAATATATATATATTTTGCAATCTATAGTAAAAATAACAACAAAATGTAAAAGCAATTTCATTCAAATATAATTTGCATTATTCAATATAGCTACTTATGTAAGTAGCGTACTGTAAAACGTGACCTTAGTTATTAATCACACTTTTCAGGCCAAATTGCAATGTGAAAACACGTAAGACAAAAGAGCTAAAAACTACAAAACACTAAAATGCTTTTTTTCCTGAGTGAACTCAAGCCCAGTGGTGAGATTTAAGCAGTGCATCTAACAGAAACAGACTGAAGCAATCCTGCACCATTGCGTAAAGCAGTATTGAGTGAGTTTGAGAGGGGGCGCACAGCATTTGCATGCGCGGACTGATTAGTTGGTTCAAAAGTGGCCTGTTTTCTGTTCTGTGATGGCAGAGGGTCAGTGCTTCTCTAATGGGCCGGTAAAGCGCTGCAAGCGGGGACAGACCGACTAAATACATCAGTACTATCACCAATCAGAATAGGTGTGTTCAACACTGTCTCTCGCTCTCGCGCGCTCTCTCTCTCTCTCACTGCATGTGCCTTCACTTTCTCACTCTCTCTCACTCACTCACTTCACATGCGAGCACACACACACTCTCAGTCCCTGAGCAGTCCTGACATCTCCGCTCACTGTCAACCTGTGTCTCCTTCGCAGGGAATTTCCTTCCAGATAGAGGAACGCTGGAAAAACATATATTCTGAGAAGAAATTACTATTGGAGACCAATTGTTTATTTCCCAGTTTCACCAGTTTGCTCGGAAGGGCTCAGGCGGTGGAGCAGAATGCCTCAAAAAGGTGAGTGCGCATGTTCAAACTTAAAGTTAGTTGTTAGTGTGGGATCCAGAATTTTATTGAAGTGATCCATCACATTTGTGTTTATTAATGACATTAAGGTTAAGATTAGTGGTGTTGCCGAGTCATAAAAATAAAAACGTGCTTGCCTTATTAATAGTTTATGTTAACTCAAAAACTAGAGCAGCACTCTCAGATGATGCTATATTTTTTCTGTCTACGTTTTAGACAGAAACTACTGCTGTTCGCGGACAGTAAATGTGTATCTGTGAGAGGCAAGAGTTAGAAGCCACATTAGGCCCGAACAGTGTTTTTTTGCGGAGCACGGGAATGCAATGACCCGTTGAGGAAAGGTGTCAGTTTGATTCATCAGCCGAGTGCCTTCTTAAAGATTTGCCTGAATCTCACGAGGACCTGCTTGTTTATTATTCTTTGCATTGTAAGAATATTAATATTTAGCGTTTTTGTAATTGTAAACGATTTAAAAAAAATAGTCCAGATAATAAAGTTCAGTATATTGGACTAATGCGCTGTCAGCTTTTCACTTTCATGTTAAATATGTAGTCTAAAGATAAACATCAATATAATGCCCGAATGAAATTAACAAAATAAAATTATTTAGTACATTTTTACATTTTATTAACTCAAAACTAACCATCACAGCGGACTCGTTTATTTTATCCAGCAAATATTCACCAGGCCTACCTATTCTACTGGTGTTTCTATGGCATTATAAACATTCACTAAATAAATGTAGCTCCAAATAACAAAAGATTTCCCCGTCGATGGCAGTATAAGATGATTAGGGCATGTTAATGTCAGATCTTTCAAAACTTCCCACTGCGCTTTTGTACACATCCAGATGCATGTCTGCATGTGAATGATGTTTATGGAGAACACTGTTTCCTGAATAAGCATGTTTAATTAAAGCTATTGTAGTTAAGGATTACACAAACGAAAGAAATGCAGATGAGATCCCAGTTAACCTCATAAACAACAACAACAGCACGTACACAACGTTAGATAAATCATTAACGGGAACACGCAGAGTCTCAATGCACTTACAGCTAGAGCGAATTAAAAGAGCACAAAATAATTAACATTTTACTGTGATTAAGAGTGATTAAGAGATTTAATCGTCATATTAGGTTTTAAAGGTATTTTGCATTGCGGGTTGTTTCCATTTCACGCAACTTCTCATAAACAACAACAACAGCACGTACACAACGTTAGATAAATCATTAACGGGAACACGCAGAGTCTCAATGCACTTACAGCTAGAGCGAATTAAAAGAGCACAAAATAATTAACATTTTACTGTGATTAAGAGTGATTAAGAGATTTAATCGTCATATTAGGTTTTAAAGGTATTTTGCATTGCGGGTTGTTTCCATTTCACGCAACTTTTATATATATATATATATATATATATATAAAACCTATTCTTAAAGATACGATACGATTGTTGAAGGCACATTTTGTACTAATGACATGTTTAATAACTGGCAACCTTTTGACAAATTATTTATTTAAAAAGTAAATTAAAATGAGAAAATTATAAAAAATATTTAAATTGCAAATGTAAATATTAAAATGTTTCTATTTTGTGGTAAATTAAGAAAACGTAAGAGTTAATGTTAGAGATTAACGTTAATAATACAAATAACATTTGAAGAAACAAATCAGCAAAATGTTGCACAAAAAAACTTTAGAACACTTAATTTAAGTGCAAAAGAATGCTTATTAAAGTTAGTTAAATTTACTGTTAAGGTAAAGTTTAAATGTAAAATGCAAATTTTTTTTTATCAGGCACTAGTTCTTCAATCTTGGGAAGAGGGCGAATGGAAACGGACACACCGGTTTTGTTATTTCAGCGTCGGGAGAGAAAATGAAACGAAAGACTTTCCTTCCCTGGGCCCCCTTTTTTTTTAGCAATGTCACTGAATAGATCCTTTATTGCAATTGTTTTTTCCAATTGAGCACCCTACTGGGCTGTTGCATCCTTTTACAACCCCTAACAACCCACACCCGTTACACAAACACCTCCAGATATTTATAACGCGAAATTACTTTTCTATTTCCCCAAACCCCACAAACAGAAACACGCATTGGGGTTCGGGCACCGGGGTCATGGCCGTCAGGAAAGTGACAGTGGATGTTGTGTGTGCATGTGTGTGTGGATGGTCGTCTGGGGGGCAGGGTACCCTCGGCTCTTTGTATTCGGGCAAGTATTGGTACGTTTGGTGGGAGGTTGTGTTGCTAGTTGCAGAGGCCGAGTTGTGCTGGCTGGGTTTGGGTATAGAAGGTAAAAGAGGCGCATTGTTGAGCTCCAGCAGGCTTTGTTAGAAGCCTCTCACCCCCTCCAGCTCTCACTTTTCAGAGCACTGGTGCGAAGTAGACAGCGTGTGTCACTGTGCACTTTTGACGGGAAGATCTAAAGAGGAAGGTTGAACATAATTTTTTTACAGACCACCAAGAAATAGAGAGGGAAACACTATTCTATTTCTATAGTGTATATTTGACTTTACTTTTATATTTAATAGCGCAGATTAAGTTTTCTATTTTATGTGCCAAAAAAATAAACAAATGACAGGTGCAAAAGGCTGCGTATAAAGTACGATTAAAAGTTAAAAAAGTAAGAAAGAAAGAAAGACAGCCGTTAGGATTTATATGCATTTATAAGAGAACTGAATACAAGTCATTCGCACTAATATGACTCTTTTGCTCTATCCTAGGAATGATCTAAATAGTCAGACGCAAATGAAGGGCTAAATTGTTTTAATCGGACAGTCAACTCTGTTACCAGGCAAGCTTTTAACGCTGAAATTCCCCTAGAAAGGATTATTCCCAAATACATCTTTTGACTCTATGCGCTGAGATGCATCGGCCGTAAATGCAACGCCGTAATTGTTGCAAAACTGAAAAAAAGAAAGAAAAGAAAAAAATCTGGATTTCAGCACTAACCCTATTTATTTTCTTTGTCATAAATAGAATACCATATCCAACCCACGTGGGAATCAGGAGTGGCGTCCATGATGCAAAACAGTAAGTGCAATTCTTATTAAGCCCCTCATGTGTATTTTCTTTTTAATAATAGCTGTTTATTCAATGGCTGACTGTTTTATTTTCATTTACGATTCAACTTGAATTGCATTGCATTTCTGACGGGAATTTAAATATTTATATAAATACAAAATATGCGAAAGTTTGAATTTTGAAAATTGTGAGGTAGGCCTATTAAATGGCGAATATTTTCTCCAGAGAAAATTCCAACACTTTTCTATTATTTCGTGTTGATATTTAAAAGAAAAGCTGAACGGATGCAAACTGCCTTTTATATATAGGCCTATGTCGAGCATAAATAAATGAAATGCTGATGGGGGAGGAGATGTTTATTTCTGCTTGAGTTGGTAACAAATAAATGCAGCTCTGGCTGGATTAATGCAGAAAATAGTTGCCAACTTCCACAGAGCAGAAACAGCTAATGCACGAAACGGGACACATGAAATAGTTTGATGATTCCAGGATTTTCCGTGCTTGCTTGAGGGGGGAAAAGGGAGGTATGTTATTCTGTAAACGGCACAGCATCACTTAGCTCATGCATTTGTCTCTTACTGTAGGATCAGAGGTCTGACATATGATAAATGCTTCTGGAATTATTTCTTTGTGATTATGTAATGTAATTATACATTGGTGAAATATAAGACAGAACTCAAATAATGAATAGTAAAATATATGCATAGAAAGATAAAGTGAGAAATGTGGCATTTTTTAAAATATTTGCAATTAAATGTAAAAATGAATATCACATTTAAATGCATGCAACAACAAAAAAATTGTTTTAAATCTCCAGTTTGGCCTGGAGATTTAGGATTGATGTTCTAAATTCACAACATATGTTTATCTATTAGTAGGGGAGCAATAAAATACAAGTCTCATTATGACTGCCACCAGGCCAGATCTACAGTCCTACACTGTGGGGAATTATATGTTTATTAAGACTTAACCTTTGAACTGTGAAATGACAGGCCGGGTCATGGTTCTCTGTGATGGTGTCATCAATCAAATGGATTCATTTGATAAAAATGCACGCCTTCTTACCTTCAAGAGTCTATTAAATCCAGCTAATCCTGGAATTATTGGTGGATTATTCCACTGGATTTGGACAGATGATCACACGTTTGTTGTGCAGCATCAGTGCTTAAATAAATCAGGTTCATTAAAATTAGTCCAGTTGGATGTGGCATTTAAATGAACAGGCTTTATTCATGACATGACTGAATCACCAATGGCTCAGAACTGCACATTTTCACCTTTTCCAGATATTTAACATATTTAGTGGCTTTTTTCGATGGTGCATTTCCCACAACAGGACAGTAGCAGATGTGGGGTTTGTTACAAACAGTACGACGGACTGAAAAAAAAAAAAAAAGAAGAAGCTTTGTCAGTTTTAATATGTTTAGAAACACGCATGCCCCTGTCCTCGCGCCCGTGCATTGCCCCTATAGCTAGAAATAAAATGAAGCCTCCCTTGAAGGCAACAAGAGCAGGATCCAATTTTGTCTGATATCCAAATGCAGACAGAAAGGGTCGTTTTATCATGCTACTATTTGTCGTGACGATGCGTTTTTCAAAAGAAGAGAAGTGTCATATAAAGTGACAGTCCTGCCACAAGTACTTCAGCTGATCTTTTCAATGAGCCTTCCATGCATGATCCGAGACGACCTCCGCCTATTTCCAGAAATTAAGCTCAAACTTGACGTGCAGCTAGCTTTATTCTAAAGACAAATGTCAGAGAGTCTCATCATATTTTCCCCCCTCTTCTTCTATATTTGGAGCTTATTTATTGCTTAGGAGCTCGGGCTCCTGCAGTCAGATGAGAGAGGAGCAGAGCGCTAGAGTACACACACACTCCAGGGAGGCTTTTCGGAGGGATTCGCCTCAGTTTTTTTTGCTCGCTTTGAATTGACTTTTCATTGGACTTTCACGTCGCATCAAAATACACCGAACTGGTATGCGCTTTTCAACTTCTTCTGAGCTTTGCGGGTCCTGCTTTGCTTTAATATCTAGATATTTCACACATTGCTATTATGATGGAAAGCATCACTGCCGTATGCTTGGTCTCTTTCAGACTGTCTGTTGTACTTGAATGGCAATGGGTGCTTATTTATTAGGGATCTGTTAGTGTGGTGTGAACGAGAGTTTCCAAACACTGGCGCACGGTCTTGCGGAAAGCTTTTCTCTTGAGGACAATTTGATTATGAAAATTTCAGATGTTCAGACTCAGGTCATTTCATCAGCCGATTGTGTGCGTCGATTGATTCAAGCCAAGTGCATGACATTCAAATGTTGATTTACAGGGCATAACGACTTGTGTAACAGCATTCAAAACTGTCAGTTTAACAAATGCAAAACTTGGCTTGGATTATTAACGATGGTCAGATTAAGTTGATTATTTATTTTAAAAATAATGACAACATTTCCTTTGTTGGTCACACAAAATATATCCCTTGACTGAATCACCAGTGAATTTTTAAGGGTCAGATCAGATAGCTTAACAAATGCACATTTTAACTTTTTTCCGTTGTATATTTAAGATATTTTTTAATTTAGAGGCTCTTTATTATTCATTTAAAAAATGAAAGCTTCCTTTGCTGGTTACGCTTATTTGTGTAATGTATTTAATGTGCAATTTGAGGGAATGTTTTCGAGTGGAAAGACGAGCCAATTTGTTATGTCTCCATGTGCCACAGGTCACAGTGGCGTCAACCAGCTTGGCGGGGTGTTTGTGAACGGCAGACCATTACCGGAGTCCACCAGACAGAAGATCGTCGAACTCGCTCACAGCGGAGCACGACCCTGCGACATCTCCAGGATTCTGCAGGTGACCGTGAAGCCCATTTGTACATCCACAAGCTTTATATGTCCTAGTGGAATAATTATACTTAGTTACAAGTCAAATCATGGTCACATACAATCAAATAGTACAGGTAAATTAAATTGATCACAACAATAGATACATAATGTATTCAAATATTAAGCATGTGCTATGCATTTGTATTGCGCAGTAAACAAACAAGCACTAACATAAAGTGTGACCCCCATCGCAATGAAATCATCCTAGCAATTTTAAGGCATATTTTCTGTGTTCATAGACCCATGATGATGCAAAAGTCCAACTGGACAATAAGAACGTAAGCGTATAACTGTTTGCAGTACATTACATTATTTCACTTTAGTCTTAAATAATGTATGTGAATTGTGTATATTGCTGTCCATTCAGGTGTCCAATGGGTGTGTGAGCAAGATTTTGGGGAGATATTATGAGACCGGCTCCATCCGACCGCGAGCCATCGGAGGCAGCAAACCGAGGGTAGCGACGCCTGAAGTGGTCAGCAAAATAGCACAGTACAAGAGGGAGTGTCCCTCGATCTTTGCCTGGGAAATTCGGGACAGGCTGCTGTCTGACGGGGCGTGCACCAACGATAACATACCGAGCGTAAGTGCAAATAATGCTTCATTTGCATCATTTAATTGTGCAATTCTTAGGTCAATAAAAACATTTTCATTGACAAAATAGAATAATTGTTTTGCATTGTAAGAATTTACAGTTCATAACAGCTCTGTCTCTCTGTAATTGCTCATTAGAGGTTGCTTTTTTTTGAGGGAGAGAGAGAACATGCACAAGCTTTTGGTTAGAGGAGACGATGAAAAAAAAGTTTAGCTGATGAATAGTTCGTTGCTAATCAGGTTGATGAATCCGAATCCTGCGTGTGGATGTTCACAGTAATCACAAACACTATAAGAGAATATTAATATTAAACAAGAAAAATGCAAATGATCATTTACTTTATGTTTGTGCAATAATGTGTTGCTTAAAGGAATAATTCACCCCTAAAGTTAAAATATTCACGCTTATGTCATTCCAAATGAGACTTTAAAAGACCTATCATACAGTTTCAAAAGACTTGGAATATAGTGCACTAGTCATACTGTATGGACAATTGTTATTGTGCTTTTATAATGCGTTTTTTAATTAATTAAATTTTTTTGTCACTGAACAACAAACCAAAAAAAAAAATTAAAAGAAAATTTATTTAAAAAATAACAGCATACAGATTTTTATATAGTTAACTAAAACTGAAACCACTGAAAATGTTTTCGTTACTTTTAATAATAACAACACACATATACAATATATGCATATATATTAGGGCTGAACGATTAATTGCATTTGCGATAATATCGCGATATGAAAAAACACGATTTTTCAATCGCAGAGACTGCGATTAGACTCGGTCACGTGACACGCCAGAGTAAAGAGGTGTGTTCCACTTGAAGATCGATCGGTGTAGCCTTTGACATCAAAGTACAGCGAGAGACTGTAGGCCATATAAACAAAAACTACTAAAAATGACAAAACACAACAAAATTACTTAAACTAAAATGTAAAAAAATTTCAACAGAAAATAATAATAAAAGATAAAAAGTGATTCAAAATATTAATAAAACCAATAATAGTTTCTCAATGATACAAAAATAACACTAGTTTGGAATGACGTGAGAGTGAGCAATTTTTTTCATTTTAGGTTAACTTGCTTTTTAAGTTTATATCTTTCAATTCTTTTTTTTTTTTTTACAGAATTGCGAGATATAAACAGACAGAAATGTGCGATATAAACTTCCAGTTGTGTGTTATACAGTCAGAATTGCGAGATATAAACTCGCGGTTGTATGAAAATGTCAGAATTGTGAGCTGACATTTTTCCTCAGAAATGGACTTTATAACTTGCAGTTGTGAGTTTAGAAAAAGTCGCAATTATCTTTGAAATTGTTATATTCTGTGGCAGAAACGAGCTTCCATATCAACCAGCTAGTCACTACAGGTGAACAGTCTGGAATAGACTTGTTCTGGTTGGAGAGACTTCTCTAACCCATCCCAAAGCAAGGAAAGGTCTTTCAATGGTCATCTCCTGTCGAACGTATAAATCCTAACCTGGGGTTCTTTGATTAATGACAGTGGTGTGTAGAGGTTAACATACTGAACTGAAAGCTCTGTTGACTAGATCCTTGTGTTATACAATGCTGAGCACTGCACGCCTCTCTTTTTGTTGTTCCTTTCCAATTGTGCCCTCGGGAGAATTTGAGCCTGACGAAAAAGGCCTGGCAGCCCATCTCTGTCTGCATAGTTTAATGGTTCCCCTCATTCTTCTGGTGGTATTGTGTCATAGAGAAAAGCAGCTCTCTATTCAAGTGTTGGTGGTCACCTCAATAGGTCCCTGGACACCCATACGGTGAATAGCACTAAGAATCCCTATACATTATATGTGCTGCGTATGAAAACACCCAAGAGAGCTTGAGGATGATTCAATGTGTTTCTTTTGGTACTTTGTTACGGAACTATGCAGATGATGCTGACAATTCCTGCCCTGAGTCTAGAGGCGTATTCACAACAAATACTAATTCTATTCTATTATAAAATTACAAAATAAAATATTTTATCTATTTTCTTATATTTTATTTATTTTATTTGTTTGATACTTTTTTGTCAATTATTCATGCAACTCAGTTATGCAAGTAAAATAAACTATTATTATTATTTGGCCAATGAATTGAAGCAAAAAATAAAAATAAATGAATGAAAATCTTAATCTTGAAAACCTACTTAGAAATTGCCTTGGCAACTAACTGAAATAGACACGTTTACGTTGAAGTACTAAAATAGCTGTAACTAAAATTTAAATAAAAATAAAGCTATATAGAAACATTAAACATAATAATAATAATGACAAAAGCACAGGTAACACTTTACAATAAGGTTCCATTTGTTAACATTAGTGAACTGCATATTATTTAACATGAACTAATGAAGAAAAATACTTCAAATACATGTATTATTCTTCGTTAATGTTAATTTCAGCATTTACTAATACATTATTAAAATCAAAAGTTGTATCTGTTAATACTATTTAATGGCATTGATCTAACATGAACTAACAAAGAATAGCTTTATTTTTATTAACTGATGCTAACAAAGATTAACAATCACGTAACAAATGTATTGCTCATTGTTAGTTAATGCATTAACTGACATTAACTAATGGAACCTTATTGTAAAGTGTTACTAAAGCACATAACATAATTTACTAAATCTTGAGCTAAAATTAAAATTAAAACTATAATATAAGATATTAATAAATTCAAAATACGAATAAATACTATAATATCATATAAAATAACACTGCTGCAACATGGTGTGAACAGACCCAAGGTTATGCAAAATGTGGTCTGTGTGATCTACACAGATTCTACAATTATTTCATCTTTTTTTTTTTCGCAGATGGTTGCCAGCAACAGGACAACGGAGGCGAGAACACTAACTCCATTAGCTCGAACGGTGAGGATTCAGACGAGACTCAAATGCGCCTGCAATTGAAAAGAAAACTGCAAAGAAACAGAACATCGTTCACTCAGGAGCAGATCGAAGCCCTGGAAAAAGGTGAGCATCACGTGTAAGCATTTACAGCAAATGTCTCTCATACCCAGCTGAGGTACACAGAATAACACGCTTTCACATCGGTTTTTAGAGTTTGAAAGAACCCACTATCCAGATGTTTTCGCAAGAGAGAGACTTGCAGCAAAAATCGACCTCCCAGAAGCTAGAATACAGGTGAGAACATTAGCGCAAATTTGAAACCATGCCAACTACTGCACGTTCGCTGTTACTATTGTTTACATCTGCTGACCTTCTCTGTGTTGCAGGTATGGTTCTCAAACAGAAGAGCGAAATGGAGGAGGGAAGAGAAGCTGAGGAACCAGCGACGACAAGCCAGCAACTCCTCCAGTCACATTCCCATCAGCAGCAGTTTCAACACAAGCGTCTACCAGGCAATCCCACAACCCACCACTCCTGGTAAATGGCACACCACAACCTAAACATATAAGGCATGCAATAAAGTCTTGACACCAAGACCACATTTTGGTAACACTTCCGAATAGGGAACACATATTCACTATTAACTAAGAGTTTTCCCTGAACAAACTCCCAATTTGCTGCTTATTAAAAGTTAGTAAGGTAGTTGTTAAGTTTAGGTACGGGGTGGATTAAGGGATACGGTCATGCAGAATAAGGCATTAATATGTGCTTTATAAGTACTAATAAACAGCCAATATGCTAGTAATATGCATGCTAATAAGCAACTAATTAATAGCGAGATTTGGTCCTTAAAATAAAGTGTTACCCAAATTTTCAATGCAAACATGTATAACAAGATTTTAGATCTCTTTTACACAAATATTGCATATAACAGATGTCGGATGTAGAACGATTGAGTATCCAAACTTTTATTAAAGAACAATGAAAATAGCTTTGATGCAAATTTGATCTACTTGTGTCATTTAGTAGCATCAAACTTGGCGTGCAGAGGCGTTATCTTTTGTTAGATTCATTTCCTTCGGAAATAAGTCTGAATAATAATAGGTTTGCAAATGTTTAACACTTTTGTGTAAACTATTCACATGGGCCTCAGTGTTGTTATTGTTAACTAAAACCAAAACTATAAAAAAGTGGCAATCGAAGTTGAAATAAAATATAAATATCAGTTTAAAAAGCACTTTTTTCCGTAACCAAATGATTTTTTTTGAGTATACAAAACTTCATCCTTTGGTTAAACAAATATTGTACAACATATGTTGGATATAGAACAATTAATTCAAAGTATCCAAACTTTTATTAAAGAACAATCATGTAGCTGCATTCAACTTGGTGTGCAGAGGCTTTACATTTTGGTAGATTCACTCCAACTATTATAATCGGGTTTATTCCATAACCAAAAGATGACGTTTTTGAGTATAAAATCCAATATTTACTCGATAAAATGTATAAACCATATGTAAACCGTGTGATTATTTTTGTCTTTTACCAGTGTCCTTCACAACAGGGTCAATGCTAGGCCGACCAGACACGGCTCTGACCAACATGTACACAGGTTTGCCTCCGATGCCCAGCTTCACAATGGCTAACAACCTGTCTATGCAAGTGAGTATAGCGTCACGAACACTCGTTTCCTCCTCTACCCTTGATAATGCTTCCTTAAGTGTCTCCCATTCCATCATTTAACTCAAACTCCTCTGTGTTATAGATACTAAAAAGCTAAATATTTATATACATATATTCTTGTTTTTTATAGCCAAGCCAGACATCTTCCTATTCCTGCATGCTGCCCACCAGTCCGTCCGTGAATGGGCGAAGCTACGACACATACACACCCCCTCATATGCAGGCACACATGAACAGCCAAACAATGGCAACTTCTGGTACCACCTCAACAGGTAGGCAGAATAAGTTCATTGTGCGCTTAACCAACTCGCCCTGGATCAAATGCACATTTATACTACCGTTCAAAAGTTTGGGGTTAGAACGATTTTTGATTCGCAAACAGCGAGGATGCATTCAATTGATCAAATGTGACAGTAAAAACCTTTATAATGATACAAAAGATTTACATTTCAAATAAATGCTGTTATTTTGAGCTTTCTATTCATCAAAGAATTTTGACAAAATTGCATCACGGTTTCCATAAAAATATAAAGCAACGCAACTGTTTTTGACATTGATAATAATAAAATGTTTCTTGAGCAGCCAATCAGAATGATTTCCGAAGGATCATGTGACACTGAAGACTGGAATAATGATGCTGAATATTTAGCTTTACCATCATAAGAATAAATTACATTTTTAAATATTTTAAAATAGTAGAGTTATTTTAATTTGTAATAATGTCTCGCAATATTACTGTTTTTACTGTGTCAAATAAATGTAGCCTTGGTGAGCATAAGATGTTTTTTTAAAAAACATTAAAAAATTTTTTAAATAAAATCCTCTAAAATGTTTGAACGGTAATGTATATGCATATGCTCTTTTACCAATTTACGGTTCACATTTATTATGCATTGCCCTAAAATTCTGTTTCATTTTAAATGCATGATTTTGTGTATATATTAAATTGTGTTTCTGTTTTCACCCATTTTATGTACCATTTTTGTTCCTTAACTCTTAAAAATAAAGGTTCCAAAAGTTTTTTTTTTTGTAGCTATGCAAGAGAAGAACCTTTCACTGAACAGTTCTTAAAATAACCATATTTTTTACTGTGAAGAATATTTAAAAAATCTAAAGAACTTTTTTTTTTTTTTCCATTTTAAAGAACCTTTTTTTGCAATGGAAAGATTCCATGGATCTTGTATGTTTTTCATGGAACCATCAATGCCAATAAAGAACCTTTATTTTTAAGAGGGTTGAAAAAGCATTAACACTTTTTGAAAAAAAAACAAATCCCTTTCATTGTCTAATTTTAACTTCAATATGTCTTGAATCATTACATCACAAACCTGTTTGTTAAAGTGCATAAAAAAAATATGATAACACTTAGCGGACAACACAAACTTCTCAATCCAGGTTCATACATAACACCAACGCTTAAAGTTTGCAAACGGACATGTTTTTGACCTATATTCTGTCTCTATTTATAGGACTCATCTCCCCTGGAGTATCTGTCCCTGTCCAAGTTCCCGGAACTGAGCCAGACATGTCTCAGTACTGGTCAAGATTACAGTAAAGAAAAGAGTTACTTCGCCCTTTGACTTCCACACAGAGACTAAGAGAGAACCTGGACCTCTGCAGCAGTATTTCCACAAACACACAGACACACACAAACAAATACCAGGACGAGGAAGCGTGTGGACTCTTGTCACGGTCTGGAAACTTTGCGGCACTACCTTTAAGAGGAAAACCAGACGCTAGAGAGACTTTAAAGGAACAAAAACAACAAACCTCTGCTACGTCCTCATTTTCGGTCTCCATTTTTTTGTTGTATTTGTACATTGGCATTTATAAGAAAAGACGAAAAGACGAAAAGACAATTCAACAGCCAAAACTATGTTGGTGTCGCATCCATTTGAAATGGCGGAGCACGATATATTGTGACTGTTTTCTAATATCAGGATTACGGATCGGACTTCATACAGGCCCATATCAAAGAAGTGAAGCAGAAACACACCAACAGGAAGCGCCTATTCGTAGATATTTTCACTCTGGGAGAACTACCGGCTAAAAATCCACCCACAACGACTTCAATTAACGACACTATTTTATCTACAAAAGGAACAACAGCCATTATGTAAATGACTGAGTACTTTATAATTATATATGAGGGTTTGGAGCTGGGTAGACTGATTCTGAGGCCGTTTGTGCTTGATCATTTATAATTGTGACGTCAAGAGGAATGGGAAGTTATAATACGGCAGACTTTGCCATCAAAATAACCTTCATCCATTTTGCTACTGTCCAATTGTACGTATTTGTTTCCCCTAGAAATATCCTCCTGGAATTATGCCGGAACATAAATTTATTCTCACATTTACTGTCCCCGAGAAAAAAAAATCTATAAATGTTTTATACAGATTTTCATGCATCGTTAAAAAAAGGGAAAAAAAAAACACATTTCTTTAGGTCCAGGTACAAGTTGTCTATTAGGTATAGCTGTATTATAGTGTCCTACGGTCAAATAATTTTGTGAGACTAGAAATATTTAATTCCAATAATAGTACATATCAGACTTTAACCATTGTTGATTGTAAAAACAGACCAAAGCCTTTGTATTTCATCTATTACACAACAATCTTAATCTTCACTTTTTTTTTATCGTTAGTCTTGTGTTGCTATACATTTTGTAAAGGAAAAAAGTTGTTTTACATTCTAGTACACTGGCTTCGCGTAGCCTATATATGGCTGCGGCTTAATCACGCAGTCCTTTATTTATGATCGACAACCATTTGTGGTTTTAAAAACATGTTGACATCTCTTGAACTCCGCGTTTTTGTTGTGTACCTGAGACATGAACACTTGTAATGTTTTTTGCGTCAGAGCAATGCTTTGGAAAACGGAAGGTCTACCCTGTCTTGCAGATATTTCAATTGAACGTTATTTAAAAGCTTTCTAAATGTATTTTGTGAAAACTATTAAAAACATTTTGTACAGTAGCCTACACGTCGCTTTCTTCACGATTTTCCAAAATGCTAAACTTTTGAAAATGAACATCATTTTCAAGTAAAATCACTCATAATTAAAAACATTACTACCCGTTTAAAGACACACCAGCATGTCAAAACCCCTCTCTTCTCTCCACATACCTCATAACCAGCAAAGAACTCGCGAACAAAGGCACCAGCCGACTCCACACAACTCAGACATTACAAAAACACACCACAATAGAAAAGGCCTATGCCATTCAACACTGCCAGCTCTTGTTTTGGTAGAGTTACGATGGTCTAAAAGGAAGAAAAAAAGCGAGTGAGCATGGGGGGAGGCGAGAGAAACGAGAAGAATAAAGCGGTCCGAGCGAGCGGAGGGAGAGATGAAGCGATTGTGTGGCAGAATGAGTTATTTTGCTTCACTTGCTGTCTCAGCGGGAGGGACGCCGAGGGAAAGTGTCCATGTGGAAGGCTTTTTGGGGGGTGGTAGGTTGGTCCTGATGTTAGCTGGGTCAGGTAGTGGCTTATGGGACTTCAGGACTGCTCTAGTCTCGCTCAAACACACCTACAAAGACGGCAGTGGAAGTGAAAAGATTGGAGAAATCTCAAATCACATCTAAAGTTATACTTGTTATATTTCACTTCCAACAAAACTAGCGTCTTATTATACGTGCAGTTTTGGGCTCAAATGAATTGATAAACTATGTTTGTTTTTAAAATATATTCATGTCACACCACGTGACTATTTGAGCAGACTAATCACTCTAATAAAAGTAATTATAATGGCAAAAAAAAGTTGACCATATAATATACAGTATATTTAAAAAAACTGTAAACACTGATAACTATTTATGAGCAATGAAAATGAGGCTATGAAACATTAACGTGTGTATATAAAACATACCTGTCTCATGAATATATGTGACCCTGGACCACAAAACCAGTAATAAAGGTCAATTTTTAAAAAATTGATATTTATACATCATGGTTTGTTAGGATAGGACAATATTTGGCCGAGATACAACTATTTAAAAAAAATCTGGAATCTGAGGGTGCAAAAAAATCTAAATATTGAGAAAATCGCCTTTAAAGTTGTCCAAATGAAGTCCTTAGCAATGCATATTACTAATGATAAAACATTTTTGATATATTTACAGTAGGAAATTTACTAAATATCTTCATGGATAAAAGAAAAATCGATCATTTTGACCCATACAATGTATTTTTGGCTATTGCTACAAATATGCCTGTGCTACTTATGACTGCTTTTGTGGTCCAGGGTCACATATGCTTTCACAAGCAGATTTATTCAGAAGCAGAAATTAATAATTTGTGCATGCATTTTCACATTACAAATACATTTCCCTGCTAAGTCAAACAGGGTCACATCAGCTGAAATTTAAGTTGGAATATTATAAATGCAAAAGGATGATATTATAATTAAATTGTAAATGAATGCAGTATCTTATCGTGAAGCCTGTTTAAGAAATAGTGAAAGGATATTATATTATATTATATTATATTATATGGGTCAGTATTACGTGGTAAAACATGGAAAACAGGTTACCTTTTACCCCAAAATACAAAAAAAAAAAAAAAAAACAGCATTAATTACAGTAAACAAAGTAAATAAATAAATAAAATAAAAAACACATTAAACAGCATTAATTAAAGTCAGTACAACAAATCTTACCATGATGTATGCAAACAGTTTAATTTTAAATATTGTTTGTTACATAGTATCAGGGAAGTCGTGGCCTAATGGTTAGAGTCGGACTCGTAACCCAAAGGTTGCGGGTTCGAGTCTCGTACCGGCAGGGATTGTAGGTGGGGGGAGTGAATGTACAGCGCTCTCTCCCACCTTCAATACCACGACTGAGGTGCCCCTGAGCAAGGCACCGAACCCCAAACTGCTCCCCGGGCGCCGAAGCAAAAAAATGGCTGCCCACTGCTCCGTGTGTGTGTTCACGGTGTGTGTGTGTTCACTGCTGTGTGTGTGCACTTTGGATGGGTTAAATGCAGAGCACTAATTCCAAGTATGGGTCACCATACTTGGCCTCATGTCACTTTATAGTAATGAGAACAATATTTTGCAGATAATTTTGGGGATCATTTTTTTTTGTGTGTAAAGTAAAACCTGAAGAAATACAGAATTTATGTAATTTGCAGAAAGTGTTCAAAATAATAAAATAAAATGAAAAATAAATAAGAGAGAAAGAGAGTCTCTAGTCCTATATTTGAATATAGTTCTGCTTTAATTGTATCCTGAACAGAGCAACATTATGAACCTGAAATAATCATACAGCTTGTAGAGTTTTGGACTGAAGTGGAGTGGAGGGTTGAAAATATTTTCCATCACAAAGCTGGTTTTGAACGTGAATAAAAACATGACATTTTGTTTTTACATTTTTTTGTAGAAACTTTATTGACACCAAATATCAATTAGCTAACTAAGCAAATAAACACCAGGAAGCCATGAAGTGCACTGAAATGACACTGGAAGCCAAACTATGTTATCGTTATTTGCATCACATCCTTGCTTTATCCAAAGATAGCAACAGGTACTTGTCAGGTTTTTGTGACACTGAACATCACTTGTATGTTTCCCCATGTTGTGTAGTTACTAAACGTTGCACCATCTTACTCTCATTCACTAATAATGAGAGTGTGTCAGTGCAGGTGTGACTGTAGCCTAGTGTTGGCGTAGTGCAGCTCCGGCGCTCTCCTGCCCTTGAACATCTCTGGGGGGCGGAGGGTGCAGGAGGAATGGGAATACGCTAGAAATCTAGGTGCTTGTTGCCCATGGCAGTGGTGCCACATCCTGCTGCCAGTTCTGTTTTACTCACTCGACTCACCGTCTCTGACAGGTCTGGAGGCAAATGCAGTCTCTGAAAGAGAGAGAAAGAGCATGTAAGAGGAAGGCTGAAAGAATAATGTGGAGGGCAAGTGATAAAGCTACAAATGCAAAACAAACAGGCACACTAGTGATGGTATCAGATGGTAATACCATGGTATTTTGGCGTAAACCATAATACTGTCCGATTACTATATTCAAGTAGCTAAGAAGATGCTCACTAAAGCTGCATTTATTTGATCAAAAATACAGTAAAAAGAGGACATTTGTGAAATAGCATTACAATTTAAAATAAACATTTCTATTTGAATATATTTTTAAAACATAATTTATTTCTGATGTAAAGCTGAATTTTCAGCATCATTACTTCAGTGTCTCATGATCCTTCAGAAATCATTCTAATATGCCGACTTGCTGCTCAAGAAACATTTCTTATTATTGTCAATGTTAAAAACAGTTGTGTTGCTTAATATTTTTGAGGAAACTGTGATACATTTTTTTCTTTGATGAACAGGAAGTCCAGAAGAGCAGATTTATTTGCAACAGAAATAGCTAATAGTTAGCATGTTGCTAACTAATAATGCAATTATCTAACAAACACAAAAATACAAAGCACAAACAAAAATTGGGTATATTTCAATGAATTCTGCAATTTCTCTGGAAGCTATAGATAGATAGATAGATAGACATATATAGGTATCGGTGTATATATATATACTAAAACGTACTCTAAAATTAAATTGAAAACCAAAACTAAAGTGAATTCTAAATATTAATAAATATTATAAGATTATAAACAGCAAATGATACTAAAATAACACTGATCTAGATGGGCAGCTAAGATTTTAGAACAGAGCTACAGTGGTTACCATCAGTTAGTATTATAGTTTCATATTCTTGCATTAATTTAACTTTTGTACCACAGACCGTAAAAAAAAGCATCTGTATATTGCTGAATAAAACAAACTGAACCTTTACAATCTGCGATCAGTTTAAATGAATAAGTGCAGTGCTCACGAACACATTTAGCCAGAGATGCCTGTTTCAGCTTCTTTGCTCCACACTGAAGACCTGTAGACTTAAGACAGGTGAGAAAACATCCTAGCCCATGTTTGCAGACAGACCAAACAGAGTGTGTGAACACAAATCGCGTTAGACGCTTGGCCATGCACCTTAAATGGTCCGAGAAGCGTAACTGTTAGTGTGCCGCTAAAAACCCTTGAGGGAGGCTTGAGCTTTTTGGCGGTTCAGGAGAAAGGTTTGTGCATAGAGCTACGGCTTGGAGGAGAGTCATTAGAATCAAGCGTTTTATTACGGTAACTTGGCCCCACATGGGCACTAATCTCTGACAAGGCAATGAGCTATGCCAAAAGCTTGTGCTAAAGAGGCTAATGAGGGAGCTCAGTGCAAGGTACACACACACACACACACACAGTTAAGAGTAGTCAAGTGTATGATTAAATACACTTCTGTACAGCAAGTCAGTTGCCACAAGCTAAACATACCTGCAACTGCAGCCTTGATTCAGGTGACCTTATTCCTCAAGTTGATGTTTATCTCCTACCAACAATGGGCTTCTA